TTATGTACGCGCGCGTGGTGTACATCTACCCTCCCATACCTCCTCTTCTTCGCTTTATGATTTTTTGCAGAAAACTGGCATTTTCGACAAACAGAATAATAGTATGGGGCTCCTTGTTAAGCCCCAGAAGTTCTCTCCCCCACTCCTTCTACTTCTCCTCCCTGCTCTTCTTTACCTATCGCATCTACCTCGTACCGCCCCTCATCCGCCTTCGGCATCTCTCTTCTCCTCTTCTCTCTCTCTCTCTCTTTCTCTCTCCTCTCTCTCTCTCTCTCTCTCTCTCTCTCTCTCTCTCTCTTCCCCACATTTTTAGCTTCCCTCTTCTTCACCTGCCCCCATCCTTTCCTACTCCATTTTCTAGAAACTACTAGAAAAAATTTGTTATCTACATTAATTATACAATTTCAATAATATAATATTTCTGGTAGATAAGGGCATACATGAAGAGATCCCCCTACCCATGCGTGGTATCAACTTACTGCGCAATATAGCTGCTTGCACTTTGCGCACGCACTTAATTAGAGTGACGTAAATTTCAAACGCAATATTTGACAACGTCGTGCCTACCAAAGCCAAGCTCGCGTACCAACGAGACATACGAAAGATATAGTATTTCTCTCGTTATTTGCACAGATCTGTTGCTAAACGGTGCGCCTACCAGAACAAGCCGTGCGCTATCGAAGTCTTCATCTATAAGTCCATCGCCATCGTTGTCGACATCATCCTGTAGCTCTTCATCGACTAACCCATCACAGTCGTTATCTACTCCGTCGCCGTCTACCGGGGGTGTCGGTTTGCACGCGGCGGCGATCGGAGTCAGTCTGAATCCGGCTGGATATCCGTACGACTCGTATTTGTCGTAGCCGTAGCTAAGCACTGCGAACGTCGCCGCCGCGTCCACGCTACGGACGTCGTGCGTGCCCACAGCGACATCTAGTGTCGCCGCAACGAACTGCGCGCTCGGCGTCGATGACCAAGCGACTTGCCACGACATCGACTCCGTCTCCTTCGTCGCCGCCGTCGTCGTCTCCGTCGCCTCCGTCGGCGTCTTCAGCGACTTGCTGTCGACCCGCAGCCCAGCGACGTCGTCTGCTCGCACGATGATGGTGACGTAATGTTGCATCGTCGACGTCACGCCCATCGCAACGAACTTGTACGCATGCGCGTACTGCTCGACCGGAGGTACGATCATCATCATCGGGTCGGAGGGCTCTCGGCTCGCTTCCTGAGATTTCGCATACTGACACACGAGGGCGCGCCGGTCGGCGACGATGTAAAGCGATTCGTTGGAGTCGAGGTGTATGAACTCTCCCGCGGAGATCGTGAAATTGTGCGAATGCTCGGGCGTCGATGACGTCACGAGAACGGTCGTGTCGTGCTTAGCTGCATAGCGAAAACTCTTATATTACGCGTATTTAATTACTGTGTACCTAACATTAGTGATCACTTTATATCGCGTATACTATTGTTTTTTATCTAGTAATAATTAATACTCTTTATCACGCGTATTTGGTTATTTTGCATGCATCAATAATGAACTTCCTCTATCACGCATTGAAATTGCTCGCATATAACACGGTTGCAGAGAATTACCTGCGATGATTCGTATAATTTCGCCGTCCATCCTGCCCCCTAGCGGCACTGTCAGGAATTCTTTTCCCCATGCGGTTACTGGTGGTATCTGTTCGATCAGATGATCTCTCCCTCCCTCGAGCACGGCAGCACGATTTGTTCCTAAGTATAAATTACCGTATCCGAATGAGCAAGGCTAAAATTACTCATGCAGGTACGGCAGATGAAGCGAGTTATAGATACGCAGTCATTCTCTCATACTGCAGAGAGAGACAGAGAGAGAGAGAGAGAGAGAGAGAGAGAGAGAGAGAGAGAGAGAGAGGAGGGAGGGGGGAGGGAGGGATGGAGAGTCAGAATGGCAGTTGAAGTCGGAGAACGAGACAGCAATGTAGCGCTACTTCGGCAGGAATTTACATAACTTTAGTGTGATTAATACTACCGATAATATAACCTCTGACTATATATATACGATATATATAGGCCTCTGACTACCGCCAAGCAGGAAATTACCGCAGGGGGCCGAGTATTGTTTCCCATAGCTGCTCCTATATGCACTAAGTTACGCAGTGGGAAGGAGTCAGACTCGCTACACTACTCGACATGCTCATGCTCGTTGTTTAATTCACATTCGCGTCTTTATTGGACACATGCTTGGCTAACAATACCGAGGTTGCGAGACGATAGACCGAACAGCCGAACAGACGGCGGTCTGACGTAATACCTGAGAAGACGCTGACGATGTCTGAGGATTCGACCTTCGCTCCAGTCAGATCTTCGGTCCACAACGAAGCCTGCACCTGTATTGTTTGCGCTCGATGTAGAGTCACCGACAACACGTTACCGGGTTTGTACAATCTGAAGCCAGAAGGCAGCATTCTGTAGTTTTGAAAACGGGTAGCAATGGTACAATCACTGAACGGTCAATAACGTGAAAGCTAAATTTACTGGAAAAACCCATTGACCTCGACTTTTGCCGGAAGACGAGTTTTTAATATCATCTTACAGGCTCTCAAAATCAAATAAAATTATTGCAACTGGAATGAATGCTATAATGGTGTATTTTTTCTTAACAGTTTTGTTCATTTTCATTATACGTTTCATCCGCCTCAGTTTCAATACCCTCGTAGGCCCTAGTTTCAGCTCACCATATTCTCAGCCTACTTTCAGTCTTAGGCTGTCTCGGTCTCAGCCTACATCATTTGTCTGCCCACATCAGTCTCAATCTACCCCAGTCTCAACCTTCCTCAGTCTCAACCTTCTTCAGTCTTAAACCTGCCTCAGTCCCAACCTGCCTCAGTCTCAACCTGCCTCAGTCTCACTTGCTTTAGTCTCAACTTTGCCTCAGTCTCAACCTGCCTCAGTCTTATCCTGCTTCAGTCTCAATTTTCCTCAGTCTCAACCTTCCTCAGTCTCAACCTGCCTCAGTATCAACCTGCTTCAGTCTCAACCTGCTTCAGTCTCAACCTGCTTCAGTCTCAACCTGCTTCAGTCTCAACCTGCTTCAGTCTCGACCTGCCTCAGTCCCAACCTGCCTCAGTCTCAACTTGCTTCAGTCTCAACTTGCCTCAGTCTCAACCTGCCTCAGTCTCATCCTGCTTCAGTCTCAATCTGCCTCAGTCTCAACTTGCTTTAGTCTCAACTTGCCTCAGTCTCAACCTGCCTCAGTCTTATCCTGCTTTCAGATCTCAATTTTCTTCGAGTCTCAACCTTCCTCAGGTCAGTCAACCACCATGCTCGAGTAATCAACCTGCTTCAGTCCCAACCTGCTTCAGTCTTCAACCAGTACCTTCAGTCTCAACCTGCCTCAGTCCCAACTGCCTCAGTCCTCTCTCTCTACTCTCTCCTCTCCTCTCTCTCTCTCTCTCTCTCTCTCTCTCTCTCTCTCTCTCTTCTCTCTCTCTCTCTCTCTCCTCCTCTCTCTCTCTCTCTCTCTCTCTCTCCCCTTCCCCTTTCTCTCTATCTCCCCCTCCTCTCTCTCTCTCTGCTGTAGGCTTAACGACTTCGTTACGTGACGGACGCGAATAGCGTAGTAGTAATAATCCGGCGCTGCGGGGAGAGATTTATCTAACGACCCGCGTCTGCAAAGAAGACGCCCAACACCACCGCGACCACATCACGTGCCTGCTCGCGACATCAGCTACTGCCGAGCATACACACACACGCACGCACGCCCACGAACGCACACACGCCCTCCGACAGCGGCCATACGTACTGTCGAGCGTAGGTTATTGTTTCCTGCTCCTTTTGGCAGATTTAAAATGGCGGCGCAAATATGGCGGCGCGCGGAGCTTGGTGTTCGCCCACCCGTCACCAGAGGGCGTGTGTTAATAGTGTTTGTGGTGGGTAGAGGGAAGTACATTCTCGTGCGAGAATTTGTTTAAAGTTGGTCGCCTGATTCATACAGGAGCAGATACGGTATACATATTCCATGCAGTGCGTCCAGAGCCCATAATGTTATACTATAATAGCATTGTCGGCTCTTGATTTGATATATGTTTATGTACCTATGTATTTATGAGTTAATATAATGTTAAAAAACAGTGCAGAAATCGTCATCCCTGGAGACATTATCAGGTTTGAGTTGGAATTTTCTGGTTAGTATATAGCCTATAACAAGACTAACGATCATTTACAAAGGTTACGACCCATGCGGCATTCTTTAAATCAAATAATGATATAGGCTGTGGGGTCTCTCCTCACGAGTTTGGTTTAAAATATTGAAGACCCTTTTTGATATACGATCTTCCCACAAAATAGCTTATAAAAATCGATGATGTCTGGGTGTACTCGATTGAGATGGAATCCCTAGTCCACAGCATCGAGCTAAAAGTGTTACTTGCCGAATAGCATACAACCTCCCCACCCCACCCAACCACTATCAATTCTATATGCATTGGGTATCTGTGATTTACTTACGCCGAAATACATTGAAATATGTCTAAATTATGAGCGCTTGATTGACTGTAGCAAAGAAAGATGCGGCGGTATAGGAGGGCATGGGGCATTTCAACACAATTAGTTTATTACGTGTCGAGGGATTCGCGTTTTCTATAGCATCGGCACATTAAACTAACTTAGTGTCTGCGTTTATTACTCAAGCCTGCGGGGCTTTTCGGCCCCCATTAGGGCGATTTTATTTATTTAACGCATTTATGGCAATAATCTCGTGTTTTCGTGCATCCACACACACACATCGATTGTCTCTGTCTCACACATGTCTGTCTCTCTCTCTCTCTCTCTCTCTCTCTCTACGCCGATGTGTGCAGCGCTCTGTTACAGTCCGACGCACATGAACGTAATAATAAGCTGTTTGTTTTTAAAAATTACCGATAATGGCGCCAATTACGCAAATTCATCTACGCTGACTAATGCGGGGCGAGCAGTGATGATGGCGCCCCCACTCGGTTATCGCATTGCCACTATTAATCTATATATGATATGAATCTATGAAGTAATATAATATATTCGAGAGCTAATGATATATATTAGCTAATGAGAGATATAATTAGATCTTGGTTATTTATAGAGCGTCAGTACTTGCCACAGATTTTGGTAAGAATCAGCATGATGATATTTAAGCGTTCCGAGGGTAACAATTAAAAATATCCCACGGTCACGGACACCCGAACGGCGTGATATTATTTTAGTTTACTTTATATATATATATAAGGGGAGAAGTAAGTAATCCCCGGTTCGTGAGAAGGGGAGAGGAAGGAAACATAGACGTTGGCCGGCGTACGCACAAGATCTCCGGACGACACGAAGACACGAGGACACGCACGCGGACACGCACGCGGACACGAGGACACGAGGACACGCACGCGGACACGCACGCGGACACGCACGCGGACACGCACGAGGACACGAGGACACGAGGACACGCACGAGGACACGAGGACACGCACGCGGACACGCACGAGGACACGAGGACACGCACGCGGACACGCACGCGGACACGCACGCGGACACGCACGCGGACACGCACGAGGACACGCACGAGGACACGCACGCGGACACGCACGAGGACACGCGGACACGCACGCGGACACGCACGAGGACACGCATGCGGACACGCACGAGGACACGCGGACACGCACGAGGACACGCACGCGGACACGCGGACACGCATGCGGACACGAGGACACGCGGTCACGCACGAGGACACGCATGCGGACACGCACGCGGACACGCGGACACGCACGCGGACACGCGGACACGCACGAGGACACGCATGCGGACACGCACGCGGACACGCGGACACGCGGACACGCACGAGGACACGCATGCGGACACGCACGCGGACACGCATGCGGACACGCGGACACGCACGAGGACACGAGGACACGCACGCGGACACGCGGACACGCACGACGACACGACGACGCGAGATTCTACACCGTTGGAAGTCGCAGGAGGGGAGGGGAGCGGGCGGTAGTTTTTTTGAGGAGTGCGTTTTTCGGTGGTTCTTCGCGCGAGGCGGGCTGTGTTTTGCGGCGTCGGCGTGCTCGCGAAAGGTTAACGTTACGTAAATACGTCCCGAAACATAACATTTTTCCGTTCCGACAGAGCCCCAGATCTGCGAGTGATCTCTTTTTTTTTCGTCCGTCGATGGGGCGAGGTTTACTATAATATTTTCTCTGTTTTTCTCAGAGAGACGGAGGTGAAGAGAGGAGGGTGGGAGTGAGAAAGCCAGAATGAAAGCGAGAAGGGGGGCGAGCGAGCGAAATAAAGGGCGAGAGAGAGAGAGAGAGAGTGAGAGAAAGAGAGCGAGAGAGAGCGAGAAATTTTCTGTCATTTTCACAGAGATCTGTGACAGCGAACATTGCCGCTGCTATATATAGTGCGTGGTGAATGCGGTCACGCACACTTTCTGTGATTTAGACATATTGCTGTCGTGTCGCTGTGTGCGTTCATTGATTCCGAGTTTTGGATACGGTGTTTAAACAGAAATGCTGGTATTTTCTTTGTAAGGTTCCAATCTAACGTTCAGACGGTTCTCACAAATATACTTGTTAAATATTCGCCGCTATTTTTGTATGAATAGTTATCTTCCCAAAAATCCTATCTTCTCACAGACTACCCTCATTGGCAATAACTACCGGCTGTGTTTGTTTGTGCTTGCGTATTATAAGCGGCGCAAATCGTTTGCAGTGTCATACAAAATGACTATCTGAAGAACTCACTTATTACATCCGTGAGCCGTGTGGCTGGCTAAGCGTGTATATATTTTTATCTTTACGTGCGTGCTTGCTAGCTAGTGTACGTGCGCGTGCGTGCACGTGCGTGCGTGCGTACCAACGTGCGTGCGTTCGTTCGTTCGTACATGCGTTCGTATCTGCGTGTGTGCGTATGTACATTCTGTAACCTATCAGGAGGTAACATCCTAAATACATCTGCTCGTTATATTAGGAGGCCTCGTGAACGCACGCGTGTATGCTTGCATGTACACGTACATGTGCGTGTGTGCTTGCATGTACACGTACATGTGCGTGTGTGCTTGCATGTACACGTACATGTGCGTGTGTGCTTGCATGTACACGTACATGTGCGTGTGTGCATCGATGATGACCTTGCCTTCGGCAGCGGCAGCACCAGCCAGTACTGTCACAGTCTGGTCGTCGTGAGGTGTTAGCAGGGCTGTCATGGCTGCCGCCATGCCGTCATAGCGGGTGGGTGGGGGGAGGAGGCAGTGACGGACAGGGCGGTGTGGGGGCGGCAACCCTCAACCGAAGGTCGAGGGTGCAATGGGTTGAGAACAACCGAGATGTTCCTGCCTTCGTACAACCGTGACGTCATAATGAACGCAGCCATGAACGTATACGAGGAACAACGAACAGGAGCGGTAACGTCAACCGTGGCCAGAACCGCGAACTTG